AAAATTTTCTTCTTTACTCTCTGAGGGTAACATCTATTTCTATTGGTTTTGAGTCTTGTAGAAACCGTAGCAGAGTGAAAAGTCTTCCTTTGTTTGACAGAGAGAGAAACAGCATTTTGAAAAGATCCTTGCAGTTGGTAAATCTTGTAGTCTTTCTGTGTACACATATAGGAGAAAGGATCTCTTGGCGCTGTGTGAATCACATGTGTCACCTTGCCAAAAGCCGAAGATAATGATTTTTGCTTCTTTTCTATAATAGCACTTTTCCACCCTCACTGGAAACATCACCTATATTCTAACTCCTAGGGTTCTGCTCCTGATGTTTTTACATCCTACATATTATTTCTTTATGACCATGTTCTGTTACAACTTGACGTACAACTTTACTAGTTTTATCCTTTTGACTCCTCATCCAAATTTATTGTAGATATTACTTTCTAATGTAGAGTTAACTACATATTTGGGAAAATGGAAACTTTATGAAAGTAACGTCCTTCAAATTTGTGTACTCTCTGACTGTACCAAGCTGTCTGTGTAACAGTAAGCAGTATATTATGCCTGTGTTTGCCTGTAAATACTATTTCCTCTTTATAATTTTTTTTGTCTTTGAGGTGGTCAGTCATTGTACAGATCTTTGTGCATTTATGAGAATATGCCTGTATTTTAGGACCTGAAGATGACTCTGGATGTACGTGTGTTGTAAAAAAGACTTGTCAGGTTTTGCTGTTGTATTTCTGGAACACATACACAGGTGTGGATTAACACTCCTACAGCTGTCCTCCCCGTAGACAGAGGCCTGTTGAAATGGTTTTGCATAAATTTGATTTTGTTCTGGTACCATATGGCATTCTCCTGATGAATAAACAGTATTTTGAAAGAATGGTTTTCTTTAAAACAGTCTTGAAAGACTTTTATGAGCATTTGGAAGGCCAGTCACACAGTCAGCGTGTATCATGATTAGACATTAATTTAGCACTTTAACTAGTACCATGTGTAATCTCTGTGGACATAGTCTGTTTTACTACTGTGCCAGGCTACCACATCATGTAATCTGGCTTTTGAGCTTCCTGAGCTTGATCCTGAGAGCAGGTATGTTCATCATGCTGCCCGTTTCTGTTGGGAAGCAGTTGTAAATACCTCTTCTTCAGTGAGAAGTTTTCCTTTTAATTCTGGCCCACGTTTATTTAGGCTTAGTTTATATCATTTGGTCAGTATTATCCTTTAGTTCAGATAGCTCCCTTCTGTCCTTGGCCTTTACAGAGTGCACTTTTATTCCCTGCAGCCGTTGTTTTGTTAGGCTAGGCGAGCTAAGCAATTTTTGTCCCTTCTGATGTTGTAAGCTCCCATTCATCACTCCCATCTGAGAGATGCTTCTCTGCACCTGATGTGAATTCTCTTTTCTTTTATTGATAACTAGAGAAAGTGTATTATACTGTTGGCTTGCATGAGGACATTATTATTTTCCATGCCTCTACTGAAGATAAATTTTAGGGGGTTTGGTGCCTACAGTGATGGTTTATGGTCAGTCACCATGAGATCTTAATTCACTTTTCTGCCTCTTCAAATAGATTAATCCTACATTTGGAATAAGGATCCGTATTTGCATTGAAAGGCGTGTTCTTGGCCATCATATTTAATCCCGTTCCTGACATTTCGGTCCGAGTCCGTTCATTTCTCCCTCTGAGAATCTAGTCCTCCTTTCTGTTGACAGACGTGCTGAAGATGAAATGCTGAGAAGCAGTCTTTGGTCACTAAAGAAAAATTAGATCACTCCCTGGACCAGTATTCAAGGAATCCAGTACTGAATTATAAGAATGCTGTACAGAGTTAAGCCCAGGTCCATCCATATGCATTCATTTGATTTCTGATATATTATATTTCTTACAGGCATAACCAATAACATCTTCTTTAATTACTTTGCATACCTCATGCCGTAGTTGCAAATTCTCCAATCTCTGGTTTTCCCAATGAGGTCAGCTGCATTTTTTTAAAAAAGAAAATCTGGTGAAAAAGAGAAAGATTACGTTTCTTGATAGTTTAACTTTTTCTCCATTTTCAGCTTCCATCTCTTATTTCCTTCAAAACTTGTTTCACTTCCTTATTTGTTAATTAACTTTAGAGTTGCGGGTCTGTAGTTGTGTCACCTTTTTCTTCTTTCTTGCTATTGTTTGCTAATCTCTCTGCATATCCCACTGCCGTTTTTCGATGGAATTAGCTTATAAGTTCATTAAAAGGGATTTTTACTATTCTATGTGAGGATAATCCTGTAAAGACTAGCTAGACTTTTCTGAAATACGCCCTCCTAGGCACCTTGGGTTTGAAAGAGGACTTGTAGCTTTTGTTCTTGAAAGAAGTAATTTTGCTAGCAGCATGCCAGAGGACTTCATTGTTCCCCTACCCCCATTTCCCTTTTTAAAAGATTTGCACAACTTTCAATAAGTATGTTTTGCAAATAGGCTTGCCTAATCCGTGCTATAAATGTTCTGAATAATATGGGCCAAAAAGCGCAGAGAAGGAGTGGCAGGAATTTACAGCTAGATTAGGTCCATGGTATTTCCTCTCTAAGCAACATGGTCCTAGATGAAACACTCATAAATTTTCAATAATTTAACATAATTATAGCTTTACAGGAAGTGTTGAAACCTTCGCTGTCCTACAGAAGAATCTCTTTTCTGCATTCTTGCGTCCATCAAAGTTTGTTATCCTACAGCAACTCTCTTCTAAAGTCATGTGCCTTCCCGGTTGTGGATAAACATTATGGTATTTCTTCTGTTCAGCATTTTAGTATTTGACTTTTTGCCAGGTTTTTGACAGTTTCATAACGAAGCGACCTTGAACAGTGATATTTATATAACGTCTAATAACTTCTCTTGAAAATGGGCATAGTTGAGAGCCATTGAGAACTGCTTTAGAAAGCAGAAGCTTCGCTATCCAGATTACATAGCCTTTGCTCAGCTTTTCGAGACTGGATGACATCTTTGCATGATTTGTGGGAGGACGTGATAATGGTCAGTGTGGCACACAATAATGAGTTTTAGTGGATTTCTTCCAAACCTGGTCTCTACTGAAAGTGAATCACTGCCCGTTGCAACACTGTGGGAATGTGGTAAAAGGTTAATGATTCCCCAAAGAATTTAAGCATGAAAAAGGCCTTTTATATTGGTATAAACTTGTATGTCTTTGCAGAGCTGTTTTGATGTCAGCTGGGCTTCTTTTACGTGGAAGAACTTAGTACAGAGCTGACTAGAAGAGTAAGATCTCTGGCACATCTCTGTTTTGCTTGTTGTAACTTGGTGAACTTCATGGTTGTGCAGGAGATGATATTAAATCAATAAGGAAATAATTTAAAGAAGGCCTGATAAAAATCAGGTGTGATTTTTATCCAGGTAGAGAAGACTGTGTCAAACAGATTTGAATCTACTTTGTGAGAAAATAGAAGAGCTAACTTGTTAACTGGGTACATTTCTGCCTCAGGTGTTCTGAAATCACCTTTTCTCCATTTGCGTTTGTATTTTCTGTAAACCTGTAAAGTATGGATTTTTGTTCCTAGAGGTGCTCTAATACTGTGGGGTTGTATGACCATAGTTTGATAGCTTGCACTTTTCTTTGGGATGGATCTTGGGAAGTAGGACTCCTGAAAAAATAGGTGCTTGAATTAGGGGAGTGATTCAGGCATGGCCTGCTCACTCTTTGTTTTAGAAAGTGAAAGTCTTCTGAATTTTTTTGCTGAATAAAAAAAGCCAGAAATAGGGGGGGTTTTGGTCTCTCCATGGTCTCATACGTTATACTTTTCATTGAGATACTTGGAAATTACAGTTTCAATTTTACATATGTTTGTGGCGTGTGCAAGCGTGCAGTTTGATTTATGTAAGCAACATTCTGCCTTTTTTAACAGATTCGCTCTTTTTCCCAAATTCCTTTTATTCCCATTACACAACCTTTATTCTCAAAATTATAGTTTGTGGTTAGGCTAAAAAGCTGAATCTGCATCCCTTTTGCTGAGAAATGTACCATTTCCTTATGCTTCACTTAAACTTCTCAATCTTTCATTGCACTTTTTTGCATAGGCCAGGACAGTTTGAAAAAAAAAACCCACCCAAAATCGTCTAAATCAGTCTAGGAGAATAGTCTTAAACAAAGCCAAAAGAAAGGTGCCTTCATCTTACCTGTGCTAGACGAGTCATCACGCCCCCTGGTACAAGAGCTGGGCTCTTGGCTTGTTCTTACGTTCTCTGATCTCTGCGACACATCTCCTTTCTTTGTGTTTCATCTCAGCTTCAGGAGGAGGGATGGAGAGTAGTGCTGTCTTGCTGAAGTTCAGGCTCTTGATAAGCTTTCACACTTGCCTGCCATGCTGATCAGTAGTGACTTTTTGCTGTTCCTTAGCCTTACGTTGTGACCTGTGGCGTAGCATCCCATCTGGCTCGTTCTGTGCGTGCACAGGGATTGGCACACTAATAGTAAAGACTGAACTGGTTTCATTTGGGAACGAGTCCCTTGGTGACCTTAAAGTATCTGAAGGGAGTGTGGAGGAGAGCGTTCCAAGAATAGGTTTAAGAAAAGAAAGGTTTTTCTTAAGAAAAGAAGAAACCAAACAGCTTTTTGAAAATACCAGGCTTGAACTATTTGGGGCTTATATCTCCTTAAGGAATCAGGTTTTAATTCATGAGCTGTGCAATCAAGGTAAACAGTAACCCTATTTTGCTGCCTCCTGCCAAGAAAGTAAGCACCATCTAAGTCGAACTTTTTAGTTAAATTAGTATTTTATTACTACCCATACATGTGAAAAAAGACAAGAGAGTTAAAATGTTCTTAGCCTCCAAGTAGTTAACTGTGTCGTATTTAGGATTTCATTTAGGATTATGTGTGAAAGGACCAAAAAGGTGTCGCTTCCCAGATTAAAACTGTTGAACCTGTTTCTAATGAGTGAATGCAGCTTTATTTATTTAATGTGGTTACTACCCAATTCTAAATCTCTGCTTTTGGTTTCTGTCCCACAGGGAACACAGTGAGTAACCTGATTTTCATTCTACCTCCAATCTACGGTGCGATTCAGACCTATAAAGATGGCCTTGAAAAACGGTATTTAGCTGCATATTTGTGTCTTACAGGTATGTGTAAAACTTAATTTGCTCTTTCATTATAAAGAGAGCTCAGATTTAACCAAGTGGTTAAGTCCAAATACTATGTGTGTGAAACGTAAACCTCAATATGTTATTCTTGTTAATGTTTATAGAAAAATGGGTATTTGTTGGAACAACGTGAAGCTAAAATCCACTGAATAACTTTATGAGATTTTAAAGTGATCCTTTTCTGGCTTTTAAGTCCTGCTCAGTGCATCTTAGCTTATTGTGTCCTTCTATGATGATTTACAGAAGATGTCTTGTGTGCCCTACTTCCAAACAGTTTCACACTATATTAATATTTTTGTGACATTTGTATGGAACAGTAATACAAGAAATGGCCAAGATTGAAGGAACTGGAAAAGCATTCTTTCATGAGTTTGAATCTGGTTTTGGTTCCTTTTTTGGCATATATCACCTGACCACCTAACTGCCATCCTATCTGGGAAGTTTTGCAAGGATGGAAGACAATGTGACATCCGTGCATAGGTGAACTTAAAGGCAATCTGTTTTTTCTAAAATAGCAAAATCCAGAAAAGAAACAACTTCCTTTAAAACATTAATTATGCAAGTAGAAGTCGTGTTCCTTATGAGAAAATAAGATGTTTGAAGATGGTTCAGATTTGGCAGTTGAGTCTCAGAAGTAGATTGCACAGAACTTCTGTGTTTCACAAGATTTCATAGAATCACAGAACGGTTTGGGTTGGAAGGCACCTTAAAGACCATCCAGTCCGACCCCCTGCCGTGGGCAGGGACACATTCCACCAGACCAGGTCGCTCCCAGCCCCATCCAACCTGGCCTTGAGCACTGCCAGGGAGGGGGCAGCCACAGCTTCCCTGGGCAACCTGTGTCAGTGTCTCACCACCCTCACAGGAAATAATTTCTGCCTAATATTTAATCTCAATCTTCTCTCAGTTTGAAACCGTTACCCCTTGTCCTCTCACTACACTCCCTTATAAAAGAGTCCCTCCCCCTCTATGTTTGCTATATTCATATTCTACGTTTGCTATAGCTCGGGTTCTCTGTGGAGGCTATTTTTCCCAGTCTTCTCAGTGGTAAGAGATTGGTTTATTGTAAATATTACTTTTAAGATTAGCATACTTACGTAATTAGACAAACATTGTCAAAAGCCACATATCCATATGCTAAATGTATTCTAGATGCCAATTAAACTGTAACATTGCTAGGTACAACTTAATGGTTTTTCAGTTATGTCAGCATTGCTGATATGTGTGAAAGATAAGCAGCAACAATGTACAGCTTGGGATGTTGTCTGAACGCTTTCCAAATGGCCATTTGTAGGCTTTTCGTGGCTTGTGTAATTACTCATTTTTGTCTCAGTATAAAATAGTTTGGCAGAAGGAATTCTTGAAGGTCAGGGTTTCCTTTTAAAAAGCCAGGGAAAGAAACAGCGTGTTAAGCGTTTGCCAAAGTTGACTCTTTGTATGTTCTTGAAGGAAAATATGCTATACTGCCGTTCTTTCTAAACTTAAAAAAAAATTAATAGTAAAACTCTGTGTTTGAGACTCAGTCTTCACCATATCTTGGCGCTACCTCTGCCAGTGACACTTCATGGTGGACAAAGTGTGCCACTATCTGACCAGAATGTCAGGCTGGCATGCCGAGACTGCCCTGAGTGGGCATTTCTCAGATACTGTTTAATGTTTAAAAGAAAAGAAAAGAAAAAAAAAAAGAAAGAAAAAAAGGTCTGTCTTTGATCACAATAAGTACCATGGACTTCAGTTTTATACTGTTCCTGGTGTTCATGAAGGGGAGCTCAGCCTTAGTATTTGACAGCAGTGCTGGAGGGCAGTCCTGAGTTCCAGCTGGGCTCTGCTCATCTGTGAGTGGGATGCCTTTGACTCCTGTCTAAAGTGATAAATGCTTGCATGGCTTGATTTTTATCTCGTATGTTGCAACCTAACATTAAAGGTCACTCCCCAAACCGTTTCTGTTCTGTTTTGTCTCTGCTTCAGTATTCGTAATGCTGGACTGTTTTACAGCAGGCGAAAGATGTAAAGGAATATAGAAGGCTTTATAGTTTCTCAGTGAAAAACAGGAACGGGATGGTTTGGAATCACGAGCCTCTTAACATTTGTTCTGCTACAGAATACAAGCAGCAAATGACAGAATTTTAAATATACTTGAGATGTGCCAGGAACATTGGCATTCTTGCTGTGCATGTGAGTGAACGAGAAGCATGCTGAAGTGGAGATAGAGTAAGTGTAGAGAAACTTCTTTTTGTGAGGAAGTACCAGAAAGAATTCTTTCCCTTACAGTAATTTTATTTATTAACAGATTTCACTCTAACAAACAGGCATAGACTTAACCTGTAAAGGGATAGTGAATTTAACACAAACTTCTGGTTTCACTTCAGGCACCATGCTTCATTAAAGATGATCTAGCAGAGCTTCTAACTAACTAGTAGTGTCTAAGGGTTGTTTTGTTAAAGTAGAAATTCTTTAACTATGAAGATGGGGGTGGAAGGGAGGGCACTTTAGTTAAGTTTTAATGACTTTGAATCACTACTGAGATTTTACGAGGTGTTAAAAGACAGCTGTCAAAGCGGACATTAAAATTAAATCTGTTCGCATTTGAGAACGTAAGAAGTGTTGTTTCTAGATATTGTTTTGATCCAAATCAGCTGTTTCTTTTGGATGCTTCCAGACATTTAGCTGATTGTCAGTCCCTTTGTGTTTTACCATGCCATGTTCAGTACTTCACGTTATATCCCACAATTTCTGGTGTTGACGTTTATTTCGCCTTTGAACCAGATGCAGTTTGCATTAGGGAAGCACTGTTCACGTCACATACATGCTAAGATCCAAAGTTGGCAGGACAAGAAGGGGGATTTCTAAATAACTGGTCAAATAAATTTCTTGCTCATACGGGTGCTGAGACCGAGTTGCACTTTTCAGCAAGCTCTTTAAGATACAGCACACTCTTCTCAGCCCTCCTTTCTGCTGCCTTTCAGCTGAAAGGGCATCTTGTCAACGAACTCAATAGGAACTGGATACAATTTTTAAGCTTTAGAGAACTCTTTTATCAACCTATAAATTGTGAAGAATAATCTTAAGCAATTACTTCAGCATGTTGCATCCCATGGAGTAGGTGGAACAAATCATCAGACTGTCACTACCTCTGAAGATAAGCAGTCGGTTTTGGATGGTTCCTTATGATGCTGTGGTGTTGTGTCAGATTCTACCATATGTCATCTCCTCCTGTGTCCTGGGAAACTATGATTCCCAAATGGTTCATAACCTAGAAGGGTCTTGATTTAAAAAAATTGTGTGTATATATATATATATATATAAAAAAAAGAGAGTGTAACTGTTTTGGACCTAAGAAAATAAGAAAAAGCAATCAGTGGAGTTATGTACTTTATTAGATGCTTTACTTGACATTTGGAAGGTTTGTTCCCTTTTGTATTTCGTTGGGCTGTTTAATAGGGCTCAGTCATTCAAGTTGTGCCAAAGTGGAGGAAAAGAAAAAGATGCAAAAGCTTTTCTGTGTTGGACATAGCCATAGGAACTCGTAAACAACCTACTAAACTTAATTTCCAGTGAAACATTGTGCCTGTGAAAATAGTTGTTAGAAGCCCTTCGGTCAAAGTTAATTCCCTTATTCTTACCTAACAGCCGTAGAGACGGTGCTTAGGCCATGTTGATGTTAGTAAACCAAATGTGCTCGGGACCATTCCCGAGTGCTGGAGCCAAGCAGCGTGGAACAGCCCGTGTCTGTTCCTCTTAGCCTCCAAAACAAGGTGACTGCATACAAATTCCCTGCTGGGCATGGGCCCTGGACTCTTGTGGCTGCTGGGCTGTGCCTGGGAGCTGCTGGGGGAAAGTGCTAGTTGGCACAGGCCGGATTCACACCACAGGCTGTTCTAACAACTGGCTAGCGCAGACGATAGCATTGCAGTGTCTGGGAACAGTCCCAGCCGTGCTTGAGTTCACTTGTAGAGCTGTACCCTTGGAGTAACCACGGTCTCTGCTGTCTCTTACGCTGTGGAGGGAAACCATTACAAAATGAAATAATTCGGTAAAAAGTCAGCTCCAGTTTCAAAGACCTAAACATGTGGTATACCTATGCAGAGGGGTCTGTCTCCCACTGCAGTCAGTAAAGCCTAGAGAATCATTTGGCTCATCCTAAACTATGCCCTTATATTTGGCCACCTGAATTACTCTTTACAATGGCATTCTCTTTAGTGGAAGCTTTGACATCTAATCCGTGTGTAGATACCTAAAGAAAGGTGTTTGCATCTGGAGCAGCCTTCCTTCAGAATGTTTTCACAGAGTGCCTGTACAGTTTGAATTCAAACCATGTCTATGAAATCCTAATAAACAATGTTTTCTACAAAGGCTTTAGGCTTATGATGAGAGTTTTTATTGCTTATGTATAGTCTTATATCAAAATAAGTTATCACTGATTATATGATACTTCTGATTCTTCCTAAAACTATTGAAAAATTTGCAGGGGATATTTGTGACCCTCTAGGGTTCTAATCCTGAGAGTTTTTATGGTTTATACATGGAAATGGATCTCGTGTATAATGTCAGATTATTTCCAGCAGGGGTACTGCCTTGAAGTCGTTGACGGTGTTGAAGCACAGCGAAATCACTGTGTAGGAAATAAAGCTTGCAGATGCATTGCTTTTACATCATCACTAACACAACTATTTTATCAGCTGGCTGTAACCACACGTCGTGTTTGCTGCAGGACAAAAAAAGCCGTGGCAGTCTACACATAGCAGCTAACCTGACTTTGCATTTCCAGTCTTTTTAAGTGCTATTCTGATCTCATAATATTGTGACTTAATGTGTATTCTGTGATTAATACACGATTTATGTATATCCCCTGTAACTTGAAATGTTTGTTGATGTAAAAATGCTGAGTGACTTGTAGTATCTACAAAAAGTGAGTTACAGTAGAGAGGAAATAGTATTGCTTCAGATGGCGTTAAAACTTCCCAACCGATATGCAGCTTTTAGTGAGTTAAGCTCCTTTGCGAAAGGAAACATCTAAACTGAAAAGCGTAACCCCCACGTGCAAGATAAGGACCAAATGTGTTGCGCAGTTTGTCAATGGCTGTATGGGGAAGTTGCTTCTGTTGAATATTGGTGTAATTGCAGTGATAGTGTTCGCTCCGATTTGGAAAAGTACAAAGCTGGGAAAATTGTCTCGTTGCAATGGTGGTATTTGTGAAGTAAATATTCCTTAGAAATGTCTTGATCCTGATGAGAAGTATATCTAAAGGTAGCTGCATTCCTGTAGAACTGCAGGTAGAAGCTACACGTGAAGACATTTGAGTTTAAGGATTAAACCACTATTTACTGGAGACAAATACACGTCAAGCCCTTTGTAACTTAGAAGCTAGACTTTAAGTGTGACAAAAAGGTAGTGTGCTCTGGACACGGCAGAGGAAGTAAAGATTTCCTTGTGATTCCTGGCACGTGATAGGTATTTCCTCTTTTTACATTGCAATGTTTTCAGCACCAAACACTAACCCTGCGTTAAGCCACGGGACTGCAGCTCTGACTAGCGCAGCTCTGGGCTCAGTGCAGTGTTAGATATTAGTTCCCTTTCGCTGAAGTTTACCAGTTATATCGTGATGTTAGTGAAGCGGAGTATGACGTAGGCTTCAGTGGCTGCAGTTCACTTCATCATCTCTTAGTGCAGTTTCCTTCTTTCTCCGTTTCTCTCTTCAGATCGTGAAGCTTTTTGCACCATTCTAGGTTAAGATGTAACGTACGCCAAAGGTAGCAAGTGAGAAACTTGGTTCTGAGCTCATTCGATGTCTAACATCGTATGTAAAACGCTTTTAAGTTATCCCTCTGCACTGTAAAATATACTTTTTTTAACGTTATACCTCTGCAATAAGATGGAATAAATGGGATACATAAAGAATCATGTTTCATTCTTTAGCCTTCATTTAAACCATTTCTTCAAAAAGATGCTATTGTGCATAGTTGCCCCAACAGTGTTTGAGGAAATGTTATCTGTGCAGTCTGGAGAGGGAGAGTGTCATCTGATGAATAATCTGGTCGTATAATTTCTAGTCATGTAACATCCTGGATTATCTGCTGAATGCACTTAAATACCAAACAGACTTGACTGTGTTCGTGAGCTCTCTAGAGATTGCAGCAAGCAGTAATACACCCATTTCCAGTAAGGGTTTTTATTTTAGGAAGGACTGTATGATGAGTCCCTGTAAACTTTTCCTGTATCAAATAACTATTTTATTGCTACACAATATAGCTAAAGCATTGCTCTCCAACGCATAGTAAAATTCCATAATGAAAGAAACTCCAAGTGTGACCATTACGCAGAAGCAAGAGGGTTTTTATTATTTTTAGAAATTAATTGTAGTCGTGGGATTAATGAGCTGGAGCTCTATTATCTGCAGCATTCTTGATTTTTGCAAAGACTGGAGAGGAAAAATAACCTAGAAATAACTGCTTCTAATCCTATAGGAAGAAGGCGGAGAGTTCAGTAGCTGATTGTTGAGATTTTACTAACCTCAATAACGTAACAAAAAAAAAAAACCCACCCCAAAGCCCCCTAATAACGTATTTTGTTAATTTAAAATCAGTTGAAATTTCTTATGCAATGATTTAGCCCATATTTGAAAATTACACTTGTTACAAATTGTCAGAGTTTGCATCATGAAGATACTAAATCATGTGACAGCCAGGATGATGGATGGTACTGTTTTAATGAGGATCTTAATGCTGATTTTTTTCCTTCAGAATGAACAGTAGTTGTAATATATTCTGTATACATGGAAAAATGGCTATGAGAACTTCTTAAAATCGCAGTGAAGGTGAAAAACTGTTATTGTTTATTGTTTGAAAAGATTTCTCAGAAGCAAAACAATTTAATCAGAATTTAGGGAAGTGCGTATGCTTGTTTATGTTCTGGTAGACAGCCATGCTTAATTTTCCCAGAGAATTAATGACATTAAAATGTTTGGCAATGCATTTTTAAATGTAACTGTATTACAGTTTTATGTTTCAGTAAAATTACATGCTCCGGTGTCTCATTTTGTTGAGTACCTGTAATAATCACAATTCTAATCTAATAGTGTCTAAAGAAACCTCTCCAGACAGGTTGGACCAGATGATCCTTGAGGTCCCCTCCAACCTGGTATTCTGTGATTCCACGTCTATCAGCTGTCTCGGGGAATCAGTTTGTTAGATGGAGGTCTGTTCATGCATCAGTGAAATCTAGCTGTTGTGTGTAGGAGAGGTCACACTTGCAGCAAAGCACAGCAGCACTACGCCGTGATCAAGGCTTGAGTGCAGATTACTTGGCGTTCTCTGAAGTGAGAGTCTGAGGTAAAATAAAATTTCTTGAAGGAAGGCAAGGCTTGGCATTAAGGTACTTGTTCTTGCAAAATAAAAATGAGCTGGTGCTTAATGAGAGTGTTTAGCTGAGAACATTTCAAAGTAATGAATGATACATTAAAACCTCTCCCAGCTTTGCTCTGAACAGTGAAATCGAACTTCCAAGAAACATTGTCCTTGTCTAACTCGTATACGTTTCCTACACACAGCTTTTTATCTCATAAATTAATTTCAGAATAAATTCAGAGTTTAAAAATAAAGTATTTCAAATAAATAAAAATCATTACATAGAAAGATGAGCTTCCAAGAAGGTGGCTCAGAAATGGTGATCTTGTTTCACAGAACAAATCCAGACTGTGTGAGTTTTGTTTGTTTACCCTGAATTTCTAGTTCTGAGTTCTAGCAGCGGTTCATTTCTGCATCTAGAGCTGACAAAAATCCCCTTGTAAAATTTAGCTTTTAAAACTGGACAATAGCAGAAGTCACAGGCTTTCAGGAGTATCAGCAGTTGAATGATCCTTTGTGCTACAGAAAGACTGAGACAGGTAAATCTTAATGAACTTAAAAGAAAAATAAAATTATAATGTTCCATTCATTCTGGGTTCCCTCTACTCTTGTCCTCATTGAGATTTCACCAGTTCATAGGAGACAGTACTGAGAGGAGGGAAAGAGGATCCCCACCCCCAAAAATCATAAATTCAAGGACATCACTGATGACTAAAGTGAAAATATAAGGCTGTGGAAAATTAGGGTTTTGTCCCTGAATGCTGATGTTCTAAATTTTTTCCCAGTAAAGTTCATGCATTTAACTTAATGTACATGGAAGTTTTACATGTAGACTTTCATGCTAACCATAGTTTTGATTTGTTTTCAGCTGTGGGATTGGGATCTTGGTGCTTCCACATGACCCTGAAGTATGAAATGCAGGTAAGTATTGATAAGTAGCTGTGAATCATTTTATGCGTGTATCTCACAATATAGTCATGTTGCCATGTCTTGGCTAGATGGAACTTGTATAACATGAGTTAATCTACCTGAAGTATCGTTGTACATGGCTTCTGCTCTCAACAAGAGAGTAGTGCAGATCTTGATTCACTAGATATTTTCCACCGACAGATGCACAGGAATATATACCTGCATCTCAAATAAAAGCTATAATCAATTGCGTACGTTAGTAGAATAGAATCATAGAGCAGTTTCGGTTGGAAGAGACCTTCAAGATCATCGAGTCCAACCTTTGTCCTAGCTCTGCCAACACCACTAAACCAGGTCCCTAAGTACAACATCTGCCCGTCTCTTAAACACCTTCAGGGATGGTAAGTCCACCGCTTCCCTGGGCAGGCTGTTCCAATGCCTGACAACCCTTTCAGTTGGGAAATCATACTATTTACTCAAGTTGTCATTTAAAAATTCCTACAGCTTTGGCATAATAGCAAGCAGTATAGACTAGAGTTATTGTTACTTACTGTATCCTTTTTTCAAATCTTAAAGTTTTCTCTTTACCTAGATGTAGCTGTAGCATTAATACTGAATCCAGATACTTCTGAGTAGCAACAGTTGTCGTCTTCTCTCTCCTTCTCTCTTATTCTCAAGTAGAAGGCATTCTGTAATAAATCACTGGGTATAAGGATTTGGTCCTGGCATTTCCAGTTTTCAAGAGAGACACAAAGAGTCTTGTCCTGTTGTCCTGTTCCAGGTCTGAGAAGATTAAGGAAATTCATCTTGGACTCAAAGTCAGGGTGAAGTGGGATTCAGTTCAAAATTAAGAAACCTGCATTTAAAAGTGTGTGCTGCCAGTCTGTGCTCCCACTGCAGTCAGTGGACGTACAGTTATGTCAGTGGAGTTCAGAGCGCCAGCCAGCTGGGCTGAATCGTTCTCCAGACCCCACCTGGTATTGAATAATGTTCGTTTGTCTGAATATAGGTGTTTAGTGTCATTTTAGACCCTGTGAGTGTTCTGTCTGGCCTCCAGCTGCCATCCCACAAAGGTGCAAATCTCTTAGACCCCCCCCGTCACATCTACCAGTCTTGGGTGGGTGTATTGGGGATGACAGAGCATTAGGTCAGGTGGCATTAGGTGACTATGCTGTGGCAGCTGAAGTAAGTCCTGGGTTTCTGCGGATCGTAAGGGGAGCTGAGACACTGCATTGTGGACACCAAAAGCTGCGTGTCTTAAACTTGAACTGAATTACAATCTGTAGTGGTGTTTGCCTCCGTAATGCTCTGTTTTGTGTCTCTGACATGTGCTGGAGACTGTCAGCCTCCACAGAGCCTACTGTTGCCACCATGTAAGGATATTTGGTGCTTTTCTTGGCATGATAAAGGTGGTTTCTAGATCCATTTCACCGCTCCCTCCCAAAGTGAGGTGTGATTTACCTGTGTTCTCTTCGGTGGTGAAACTACCTTGTATTTCCACATTTTCATTTCTCTTTGCTCAGCTGCTTGTTCCTAACCCTGCCAGTGTTTCTTACACTGATGCAGAGGTGAGCAAGGCCACCCTGAAACCCAGGTCGTTAAAGTGACCCAGGCTTAAAACATTCTTATGTTTGGGTTTGGGGTTTTCTTGTGTGTGGACGCTATTTTAATCCAAGTCACTTTGATGCTACTTACCGTGTAGTTCTGGTGTTGCATCACAACAACTAAGGGACCTATGAACTCTGGTAAGTAAAGAATGGGCAGAAGCAGATGAGAGCGGAGCAGGAACGTCTTGCATCATCTTTCCAACTGGTGTAAAAGGCTTCGTGTGAGGCAGAGCAAGTACACTTATTATTTTGGCAGCCAAGTGAAATCCGCTGGTGGCCCATAATTACTCTGATTGCTGGCTCAGGCATCACCATAGAGGAAACATTTCAACCAGTAATAATGTTTTCCCGTTCACTTTTTCTCGTTATGATTAAAAGTCATCTTTGATAGCTGTTTGAAAAGAACTTTTTTATTTTATTTTTTTATTTTTTACATTTGTTTCGGAGTCTTAATACTATGAATGGTCAATTTGGATTGCTTGATTAAGAGAAATGTGAAAGCTTCTGTTCTTGAAAGTAGTTATTTAGAATACTTCTGAAGTGATCACCTCTCTTTTTCTCTTATTTTCGTGGGAATCTGCTTGATTGTGCATTCCTCAAGAATCCAAAACGCTTATTTAACCAGTGAAATCAGCTCACCGAGTTTCCTTCTAGCCGTGTTTCCTCATTGTTCAGACTTGTTCAGACACGCTGCTGACAGTGTTTCTGGAACCATTAATTCCTGTGGATACAGAAGCCATTGTCTTCTGCAAGCAAATTCGAACTAGGGTCTTTTGAGAGGCTCTTTGATGTTTCCATTATGTCCCTGAGAGGCTGCCAGCATAAGAACTTCAGAGTGCAATCAGCTGTCCAAATTCAAAAAATTCTGCTGTATCATATTTCTTATTCTTCCTCCCCCCCCTTTTTTTATGAAGCCCTAAATGAGTCACACTCTTAAAGAGCTGCATTAATTAATCCTGCAGCTAATTCCTATCAGACTTGGTAAAGCATATCCCTGAACTTGCAAACAATAACTGTTAGTATAAAGCTCAATTCAGCTATTGCTTCTAATTTTTCCTCTCTAAGGCATCACAGCAAAGAAAAACAAGGTGCTACCTAACACGCCCGTTAGCTTCGCTGCCATCTATGTTCCTGTTACTTTCTTTGTGCTACCTATAATGCATGGATTCAGGTATTTAAACCTTTTTCTGCCAGGTTAGTTGTGTGCTGGATCAGCTGTTAGAACTGGCTGACGGTGGGTCAGACGAGCATGCCTGCCTCACTCGAGAGAAGCAGTGGGAGTGAGGGTGAAGAAGCAAAACCTGCCCATTCAGTGGCAGCTGGTCAGTAGAGCTGTTGAGCAGTATTACGAAACATTTCCTGACGTTTCTATGGCCAAACGCACAAGAAGCTAATAGTTCACGCTCAGGATAATACATCTCTCTCCTTCTGTGAAGAGCTAGATCGCTTTTTTTTTTTTTTTCCCCTCAATATGAGATTTCAAAACTAAAGATTTTGCCTGTGCAGTTAGAAAAATTCTCCCAAACCAAGCGGAATCAGGCTGGCTTTATAAAAAGGTTTGTGTAAGCTGCTGTTGCTCTTAATGTGTCTCATTATTCAGAAAAACACCCTGTCCCAGTAGTTGGAAGGTAATTTCTGTCCAGGCATGCCCATCAACAACTTTCAGGTGACGGGAAAAGATCAAAATCTTGTTTGCGTCCAGTTCTTGGTTTTCTTAGGAAAGGGTCAAACCTGGTGTAACAATTCTAAGATGCCGAACTATTAACATTTGCTTAATATATTCGAAATCAGAGGCAGTGAATCTTCATTGATCTGTTTGCATTTTGCATTTTCATGGTTTTCAGTCCTTCATAAGAGCAGGTAAGTTTAACGATGGATTTATGAGCAGAAATTTGTTACTGTTCTTTGGTGAGAAAAGTTTTGGAAGAAAATGATGCTATGATTTTTATTTTTTTCCCCTCTAATGATAACTAAATGGCAATTTTGAGCGTATTTGCTCTTGAGAAATCACCTCTCTTGTGATTACCATTTTAATTCAATCTCCATTAAGGTGGCAAGTTCCTGGAGAAATAACTGTTTTACCTGTAATACACCAGTCTTCTCCCACAGTATTTAAGACAATAAATCATTATATGGCAGTCATAATTTGTGGGGGGGGGGAAAGCCAAGAACCCCACAACCAACAAACAAATAAAACCCCATCTCTGAATTAAAACAACGTAAGAAGTTTCCAAATTTAGGAAGTAAACATGCAAGCACATCACAAGATACTTCCCAATGAGCTAAAGTTCTACTTTATGTTATGGCAAAAAATTATTTCAGTTACTCTGTGACGTTTGCACAGAAGTAGGAAAATGCTACTGGCTGTACTGAGCAGGCTATGAATGGAGTGGTCTTATTCAATCCGACTTTAGAAAACTAATTCTTATAAATGTTTCAAGAAGTGTGAACAGCAAAAAATGGCGTGATTCTTTGAAGGCACAGGCTTTTATGAAACACGATATTCAAAACTTTCAGAGTAATAAGTTTATTAATGCAGCGAGCTTCCACTGGTTGAATAGGATTTGACAGTGCTGCATACTGAAGTACAGTCAAGAAGGTGGATATCCAAATGACTTAAACCCTCCTGTTTTTCTTAAGACTTATCTCTCCTTAATTAACTTACACAAGTGTGTGAGTTAAAAGTAGTTTTCATGTTTTGATGTCTCTGCTTTTTGTAGCTGTTGGATGAACTGCCAATGATATACAGTTGTTGTGTGTTTGTCTACTGCCTGTAAGTATTTGTTAAATGTTTTTTTTTTTCTGAATATTAATGAAATACTAACTTTTGAAATGTAGAATCTGTGAAGCTGGTAGTGAGGCTGACACTGAAGTTTCTGTCAGTGAGACCTCAGTTTTGCTAGCAGTTAAAGGGAAGGAACGTTACACAGTATGACTTTGCCATTGGAGCACCAGGCTGGCTTTAGTCCTAGTTTTTGCTAGTTTAGAGATGTTTTTACCAGTTTGTTTAGCAGGAAGAAAAATAACTCTTGTGAAAGACTTTATGTAGCATACAACCAGAGCTCAGTGTTACTTGGTATGTAAATGGCAGACATAAAAAAATCAACTTGAGTAACTCCTGCAAAACTTATCAACGTTGTAATTTATTTGAGCTGTATTTCTATGATGTAGTCTGACTTCAAATGCAAATTTCAGATTTCTAGTTAAACCTGCTTTCTACCCATCTGGAAAAATAAAGAAGAAAGATTTTATGAAGAGTTGAGTGCATATTTTGTGGAGAGTGTCCTGGAACATGTATGACAGGTTAATGCCATGCCAGGATGTTTTCTCCCTTGTAATGTCGGGAGCAATGTAGCATTTGGCAACTGTAAAGATACCGTAAGTTGACTTTTTCTTGCCTGTTGCTGCAAGGCCTGGATTTATTTAACATGATTAACGTGATTCTGTCTTTTGGAAAATCCAAATGCTAAATCAACTTGTTGCAGACAAAAAAATTGTCCTTTTGCTTTTGAATATATCAACTGTTCAGCCATTGAAAACTGGAATATCTTTGAAGATTACTGGTAGCTTGCAATGGAAATGCTGTAGGACTAAACCCACGTCTGTGGAAATTACCATCAGTTTGTGATTCGTACATACTATTATTTATGCAAACTCAGGACCAGAATCATAATGCCTCTGTTAGCGGAAATATTTCCATTGTAGCTTCCTATCTGCTTGAAATTGCCTTTGCATTTTTTTTTTTTGTCTGATTTGAATGTGATTGGGGAAAAGGATGAGAAGTGGCTATAAAAATCTGTTTGAAAAAATAATCTTGCTTATTTTGGGCAATGGTTACCCCATTAGCTTCAAAAGCACTGAAGTCTGCCACTGCATTTATAGATCTAATAAAATTCTGTGTACGTATGTACAGTGGTAATTAAAATGTTCTGAAGAATGAGCTGATGTTTAGTTTTGGAGGCCTTTAATAATCATTTTGGTTTTCTTGAAGGTAGGTGGCGGGGTGGTTCTGCACAGGACGTTCCCTGATACATCATTCAATCCTACTGGCTCTCAAGCTGTGTAACTGCTTTGGCAAGGCATTTTGCGGTGCAGCACGCTCTGCTCTCCTGTAGATTTTTTTTGCCCAGATATTCCTACATGTTTTGGCTTTGTTTCCTTTTATTCATCCGTGATGGTATCCATTTCCAAACATTTATAAACAAATAAACTAGGCAGATGTAACGTGAAGTTATATAGACAGCTTCCTCTAGCCCTGACGATTTTGTGCTTCTCAAAGTTCATTTGGTTGGGTTTTTTGGACCTTTTTTCCTGATGGAAATATGGCCTGGGATGTACATGTGTAATTCCATCACAACTGTGACTGAAGCGTAGTGTAGAAACTGTGAAGCTAATTTTAATGAGTTGGTTTACATACTGGGAGCAATTAGCTGTTTTTACCTTCCACTTCTACCTGTACCCAATCTAGCAAATTTACTGCGCTGTGACTGTAGTTAAGCTATAAACAACCTGCATTTTAGCAGATCTCTAGAGTTCACTGTTTTGTAAGGCAGTCCCTTTCCCATGCTGCCTTTAGCTCACAGATGTAATGTTTTTTGGCAGCTGTATTGCATTTTAAACTCATTTCTAATTTGCCATCCATTATCACCCCTTAAGCACCTTCTGAAAATGCTCCTGCTTCCCAAACTCTTTCCACTGACTGGGTTATTTCCTCTATATGCATGAGCTTACTGGGTTTTTTGCACTAGACTTTTTAAAGAACATTTATCAGTAAAAGTGTGAATTTTTCTATTAAAATGACACATTTTTATTGGAGGAGCTACAATGTCTTGAAGGGCCTAAGACTCATTTGGATCAATTTTCTCACAAATTTTGTGATAATGTACCTTGAAAAATGTGTCCTTTATATGGCAAGTGATGAATGTTATCGCTCTCCTTTATGTTTTGTTCCAGGTATGAATGTTTCAAGTACAAGAACACAGTCAATTATCCACTGCTTTTCGTGTTAATAACATACAGCTTCGTAGTCAGCATAGTAAGTAACTTTTTCTAATATGGCATTTTCACCTGTAGATCAACAGTTTTCCTGCCAGTGAAGGAATGTTACACAGGCAGTACTGAGTCTCTCTCACTTCCAGTCGAGAAGGACAGATTATTCCTTTGCTGGGAAAATTATGTGCTGGCCAGAGAAACCTGCAACCTTTCTATCTAAACCAGCGTATAGAATAAATGAAGAAAAGCAGCAATCCAGTTGCTAGAATAGGAATGCGAGAAAAACGGTCACCGTTGACTAGTTATGAGACCTTGGACAAGCTGCATTCCTCATCTTCCCTCGCTTTAATTCATCTACAGAAGTGAGAATAATCCTATTCAACAGACTGCAAAAACTGAACTGTAAGGTACAGCCCAGATAGGGATTGGTATTTTAAAACAACAGCCAGACTAAGAAAGGAACTTGGCTGTTAAAAAAAAATTAGAAGAATTTTAATGGTGTCATGGCTAACTTGATGAATAAAATGAGGTTTGTGCTGGATGTCAAGCACAGATGGAATCTTCTTCATTGTTTTTATTGACAACCATTTCTTAAAAAAAAAAAGAAGTATTACAGGTCATCTTCTGCCTTCAAAATACTTGCCTCTTCTGCACCTCCTAGAATTTTTTACACTCGTGGCATGGTATACCTAAAGGTCTAGTGCCCATCTCTCTTCAAAAGCAGAAATTAAGTGAACTGCATTTACAAAAAGCTAGTGGTTCTTCCTGTTGTTAAGTGAATTGAAATGTTAAAGCATTGTCAAAAACATTAATAATAGCAAATCAAAGTAGAGTACACTTTCTTCTTGCAATGCATATCGAGAATGTGTCTAGTAATTTCTGCATCTTCATTGGTTTTGTGTGTGTTGCGTCTCTACTAAATGAGGAGACTCTAGATGTTAATGTCTCTATTTTTGCTGCTTAATTTAAAATAAGTCCGCAGTTAAAACCTCAGGTTTTGCCAGAGGAAACTTTAAACGTTTAATCAACTTTAATGGTGCATGGATAGGCACTCTTGTCTTTACTCTAACGGGACGAGTCTGTTTAGATGAATACTGTTATGATCGTTCTGTGTTGCAAATTATTTCTCTTTTGTTTTTAATCTTTCCAGGTTTACTTAAATTTGAAAGAGCCTGTATTCCATCAGGTAAATCTTGCTCTGTTGGAGAAGCTAATCTTGTTTTCAAACTATGCTGTTTTAGTGGAATGTTTTACATTGTTATATATGTTTTACGTATGCTGCAGCTCTTTTCCAGGATCCCAGTCTTTTCGTTAGCGCTCCCAGAGCTTGATGGAGTCTCTCGTGTACAAAAAGTTCAAAGGGTTTAGTTTAAATCAGGCGAGCCTGAGGCTGGGGCAGTCATCAAAGCCTTCTTGAGGGTTTGAAAGGCAGACCTGCGCTCGGGACTCCAATGCAGTACTTCCTTTGATTCCTTGAGCGTCTCATACACGGGCTTTACAATTAGGCTGTAATTAGGAATCCACAGATGACACCACCCGACCATTCCCAGGAAGGCACGTAGCTCCCGCACGATCGTGGTTCTGGTTTGGGCAAATTGCTTCTTTCTGCTCTGCTCCCCTGTCCCTGTGAAATGGTGAACCCCACGTACGGTACCTGGGTCTTTGCTGTCTGCGCCGCCTGCTGGGATAGTAGCCGGCTTGTCCTGGCAGATTTAAGAGGCTAATAGTTACTGGAACACTCTCATTCTGCGAAGGAGCAGCTATCAGAATGTCATCCACGTATTGAAGGAGAGTTGTTTTCTCATTTTCCTTTCTCCATATTTCCAGCTCCTTTGCCAGTCGGTTTCCCCAGAAGGTAGGGCTATTTTTGAACCCTTGTGGTAACACAGTCCAAGAAAGTTGTGTTTTCTGTCCTGGACTTTCCCATTCAAATGCAAAAAGTGCTCGACTGTCCAGCTCCAGAGGGATGCAGAAGAAAGCATCCTTTAAATCCAATTCTGCGAACCATATATCATTTTCTTTGATCGTTGTTAATAGGATATAAGGGTTAGCTACCACTGGGTGTATATCCTGCACTATCTGGTTAATAGCTCTAAGATCTTGCACTAATCTGCACTCATCCCAATGAGGTTTCTTTACTGGTAAAATGGCAGTATAGTAAATTGATTGACACTCTACCAGCAATTTATATTGCATAAACTTACTGATTCAATTCTCCAATCCCCTCCTTCTAATTTTAAAGGATATTTCTTTTGTCTTTCCGGTTGGGCGTTAGGTTTCAGCTGTATTCTTACTGGCTCTGCTGCTTTTGATCTTCCCTGGAATATTGGTGGCCCAGACTAATGGCATGACTGCATTTCCCACTTCCACTGGTATCTTTTCCTCCACCTCCCTCTGCTGTAACATAAAAACTTGGGCCTCCAGAGCTTTACTCTCTGGTATATGCACCCGTATTTGTCCATTATCAAAAGTTATTTGAGCATTCAATTTGCTTAGTATGTCCCTACCTAATAGAGGCATCAGACACTCTGACATGTATAGAAATTGATGTGTCAACCACTTTTTGCTTAATTTAAATTTCAGGGGTTGGAAAAATGGCCAATTCTTCCCCTTCCCAGTGGCACCAACTACATTCACAGTGTCTGGACTAAAAGCTCCTTTACAAGTGTTTAAGACAGAGTATGCAGCTGCAGTGTCTACTAGAAAATCTACTTTCCCATTCCCCAGTGTCAGGGTAACCAGGGGCTCAGCTGGGAATGATTCATCCAGTCCCCTTCGTGCCTCATCCAGAGTCATTAATTTCCCAGTTTGTTTGGGAAAGCATCCACCACACCCCCAACCGCCCCTCTTTTTGGACATTCCTGTTTCATGTCCTCTTTCAAACACACTGATCTGCTGCAAGACAGTTGCACAAAAGGAGGTGACTTTCCTCTTCCCCTACTCCCTCCCCTCCCTCGGTAACCCCTTCCTGCGCCCTCCCTTCCCCTATAGGCTCCCCCAGGAGCCCCTGCTAAAGCAGTAATCAATCTCCCCTCTCTTAGGTTCTTCCTTCGAACGTGTTGTGTCTCTTTTTTCCTTCTCTCTATTACTATAAACCACCCACACCACTTCTAACATCCTTCCCAAATCCCTTGAGTCTGCCCCTTGTAATTTTTGAAGTTTCTTTCTTATATCTGGGGCCGATTGTCCCATAAAGACAGAAGCCAATTGAGCAGCCTCTTCTGGTTTTTCAGGGTCCAGATTAGTATGTTTTCTGGTGGTGGCTTTTAGCTGCTCCATGGAGGCAGATGGAGATTCATTTGGTTCTTGTTTAACCTCATGTAATTTGGACCAATTGATCGCTTTTGGCATGGCAGGCCTCATGCCAAATAGTATCCATCTCTGGTATTTTGTTAAAAGCCCCTGGGGTCCCGGCTGGTTGGGATCCCACCCTGGGTCTGCAGCAGGAAAATTCTGATCTATCATTCCCTGCAAGTCCCCAGTAGCATGTGCCCCTTCCACCTGTTTGCGAGCTGTGCTTAGCATCTTTTTTTCAGCACCATCTAGCAATGTATCTCATATTACCTGTAAATCATTCCAATCAGGATCTTGGGTCCTGATTATAGTTTCAGACACTTTAGCCAGCCTTTCTGGGTCCTCCCTATAAACATCCGCTGTTCCCTTACAGGACCTTAAATCTGTTATCGAGGCGGGCACGTAACCATTACTGATCCATTATTCCCAACCCATTGCCTGAGAGGGGCTTGCAATACCTCCCCCCTTTCCACATTACAAAATTCCAAACTTCTCCTTCATCAGAACTTGAATCGTTTTCTTTTTCTCTCCCCAGCCTCCGCTGCCTCGGCAACTCCTGCCTCCCCCGACTCGGGGCCACTAATAAATCCACATCCTCTTCCTGCAGCTTTCAGTACTTAACACAACGCTTTCCGATACTACATACCGAACAACACCTTTTTGATTTCCTTCCCTGATCCTTTTCTAAAGGTAAACCAGAGGATCTGTAGGTATCATACCACAATCTTTCTGCCATTCTGAATGATTCCGCAGCAAAAAGAACAAATCAACATGAGGGACTGCATCCCATTTTCCTTCCTGCTGACAAAACAACATTAATTGCAGAATGGTATTATACTTTAAGGTCCCGGTTTTTGTCCACTTTTCTTGATCCTCCAAAATATACATCAGCCACCAATGATTACAATATTCAATTAATTGTTTCCTGGTGAGGGGATCACTTTTTACATCTTTCCAATGTTTTATTATACACCTCAGAGGTGACTGCTTTAAAACACCACCCTCTGAATCCCTTAGAGGCTTGACCAGACCCCGTATTAAAACAAAACAAACAAATCACACACAAACACTGCTAACAAAACCAAAACATACCAACTCAACAGTAATCAATACCTGGGTGCCTTTGGTTACCCGGGCGAGCACCCCACGTGCAAACAAGCCCTTTTATCCCCTGTCCACCCTTACTTCCCTTGTAACCCAATCCTGTGGGAAAGCATTTCCTAAATAACAAGGCACTGGGGACTCAAACCCCTGTACCACTTGAAGTTGGAGCTTGAACCCCTATACCAGTTCACCCGGGTGTCCTACAGACTTTTGTCCGATAGGTTCCTTCCCTTAGGTACCTTTATAGCCCAACCCTGTGAGGCTTTCGCCTCGCCTGACGGGCAGGCAGCCTTTAATTTCATGTTCTTTAGGGAAAAGGATGCCTTTTTACCTTCCCAGGGGTCTTGCTCAGAGCTCTCGGGTCCGAAGATCAGAGGAGCTCCCCGAGAATCCCTCGGTGCTGACTGGTGGTCCTGCGATCCTGTGGGATCCGTCGAGATTCAGAAGCAGGGTCCCATCTGGGTCACCAAAATTGTCACTGAAATCAGGAATGAAACTCCTTAATCCTTGATGTATTAAAGAGCAGGCGTGACTTTATTCGGTGCTGGGGACATGGGCGATCCCTCCACCAATCGTGTCCCCCATGTGTTACATCAGCTAAAGTTTATATCGTACTGTAGTACGCATATGTGTTAAATTCCCCAGAATGATTATACTTATTCATTCTATTTCCTAGAACTAATTAATATATTTATATAATTAGTACACACGCAGTTTCAGTCTCTGAGGGGCTTCCATGGAGGTGTTAGGTGGTCTGTAGTGGTCTCTGGTGGTTTTCAGGAAAGTTTTCTTAAGCTCTGTTTGAACTTTCCGACTTTCTTTCTTATATGGCCATGAGCTGGCTCACTGCCTTGTTTACTACAGTTCTTGTCCACGTTGACTGGTGTTAGCTGGTTTTGAAGGACTTTTTGTTTATCAGCGATAAGGATGGACTGTCAACAACTTGTTATTTGTTGAGATTTGCACTGCTGCCCAAGTGTCCCAAGCTGTTAACTGGGTTTTAACATGGCTATGGGCTAAGGTGGAGGGCTTAATGAGTCCTTGTCCACTTCTTTACCTGAAAGAAAACTATGAAACTATGACCTGACATCGTAACGTGGCTTGGGTGACAGCACCGTGTTCTTCTCTCCAATTTAACATATTAGTTTGTTTGGTTTCTTTTTTTTTTAACTACTCAATTTTCCTTTCTGTGAATTCAAGCTGAATTTGAACACAGAGTGTCTTCTAGGGTTATGTAGCAGATTGGTTGTTATGGTCTTACAGGCATATTTGTTACACGTTCCTTTTGTAGCAGCCAAAGAATATTAATAAGCATCCACTGCCTGTGGGGATAGGACTTGTATCACTTGCCTCTCCACAGGAGGTTAGAAATCATGCCTGTTTATGTATGCCTTAAGTAGTTTTCCCTCATTTATGATTTTTTGATTAGGGATAACAGCTGAAAAATTGCTAAGCAAAAGCACTGAGCTGTTTGCAGGACAGAGCTTTAAAGCCTTAATTGCTGAAATTGGTAGTGCCATCGCTTGTCAAAATGTGCCTGCTGCATCAGCAGTTGTAAAAATGATAGGTGATTCTTGGTGGTGGATTAGAAAAGCACTGATGAATAAATACATTCTTAGCTGCTCCAAATAATCTCTCCTAGAAATATGAATTGTTATTCTACCTATAGATAAAAGGAGAAGCTTGCAGGGTGGTTTTGATAATGTTAATTAAATCCTTTCTTTTTTTCCCCCTACTTACATTTGCGGCAGGAAGATACTGGCTGGGGTGAAAGCGGCAATTTCTGAT